TCCTTGCGCTGACCGTTCTTCCTCTGCCGCTTGCGTCGATCCTGACGCCGCGGTTGAAAGCGCGACGGTGGAACTTTAGGGGATTACGCGATGAAAATGATAGCGGGGTGACGTTCATGTTGAGGGGAGGTCGGGGGATATAAGGTCGTGGGTCCCCATGGTTCACAGCGAGAGGTCCGGCAATCTAGAGGACGTGATCGGAGGGGAGGTGGCGCCATGTAAATTAGCTGCGTGAATAAATAAAGGAGGGTGACGTAATGAAAATTAGCCGGGTGACACGATGTTGAGGGAAGTGGGGAGGTGAGGTAGTGGGTAACCGCGGTTGAAAACGGGAGGGTGGTAATCTAAGGGGCGACGTGACGTTGAGGGGAGGGGGGGTCGTGCAAACTAACCGCGCGATTAAATTTGGCGGGGTGACGGCATGTAATTCAGGAGATGACGTTATGTCGAGGGAATGGGTACCCATCGGTTTACAACTAAAGGGGGTGGTGATTTAGGGGGCGACGTGAAGTGACGTGCGGGGAGGGGGGGGGCGGTTGTGGGTCCCGCCTTACCGTAAGAGATAATCTCCCCTTTACTTACACAGCAGTGCTCAACCCCAGATTTTCTATACCAAGACGCTCTACTTCAATAGACACCGACTTTGATTGGCCTTTCACCTCTAAACTCAAGTCATCCCAGTATTTTGCCACACACACGGGTTCGGCCCCCCAAAGAGTGTTGTCACTACGATATCAGTGCTGCCTTTCGAGTAAATTCAATCTTTGAAAGGGCATCGCATGTAATGCACGCGTGTGTGTTTTCGTCCTTCTGGCGCCAGCGTGCACCTTTCGGTGTACATATTTTCACGTATCGGCTGGGGTCACACCGGAGGAAGGTAACCCAGGCACCCTTCCTGTACTTGACGATATTTTCATCTTGCGCTACCTTCTTCATGTTGTTATCTTCACACCAAAAATCGATGCGGTCTCTGCTAAGTTCCTTCTAAAATTTGTACCGGTTTACCTGACGCAAACGCCTTCCGTGGTCACAGGCCAAGTGTACCCCAAAAGGGGTAAACGCGTGTAGAAATCAATGTTTTATCATGTCCACGTATACACAGCAGTCTCTTGAACAACACATTCGGGTTGGTTGATGGACTGCTGTCGATACAAGCATGTTCTGTTTCTTCGTCTCTTTTTTCGTGCAGTTATCCAAGATTCATGTGAGAGCCATCTCGCCCAACTTGCCGAAACGTACAGGAGTACACTTTTCACACACAAAAAAAACACGGGTCTCCTTAACCCAAGCACAAAAGGGCGTGTTTGTCTCACCTGGGTGTTATCCCCTCCCCTGGAGGTAGTGCGTCGAGAAGGAGTGTTCCTCAGAGATCTGTTCGCGACATGAAAAAAAAAACACAACATCAAACAAGGAGAAACAAGGCACAAGGCAAGACAGACCCAACCTCGTTCAAGTAACCGCTTGAGTGAATGCGGTATTGCTAGCCGTACGTTTCTCTTGCCTCTCAGCCATCAAGTATACAATGACTCTTCGCTAAGCTAACCGCAGCGACTGCTGTTGTTATGCATAAACACTGGTTCCATCGAGGAGGAAATGGACACCAACAAGAAGGCAGGAGGCTCGACAGGCGAACGGCTTTAACCTTCATCTTTCATGGCCGTGGGATGACGTTTGACCTGTGATCCCGAGAAATCACTTCGGAGCCCCAAGTCTACACACGCACATCGTAGGTTGTTATACCTAACATAAAACACACCCTGGACTGATTTTCGAAGCTCGATGGCTCTACAGCGGAAATAGTGGCGTTGCCGAAAATGGCGGCGTCGGACCCGTCTCGTCGATAGCATTCCGGGATTCACGTATGAAAAAAACACTTGTCTAATGCTGCCACAACGGAGCATGCCATTGCTTCCTACAGCGGGAATATGTCAATGTTGCTGCAATGGAGTAGAGTATGGGCATGAAGCACCACATGTACGTACGAGAACAACATGTTTTCTTGGTACAACGGGACATGAAGTGGCACGCCGTTCCGAACGCGACCGCTCACCTGCCCCCCCCGTCCTCGTCTCCTGCGTCTTCCGACGCGCCACCGCCACCGCCTCCGCCTCCCGCGGAGGCTTTGGAGGACACATTTCCGGCGCTAACCGTGCTCCGTCGCTTGCTTGCCCTCGAAGACATACGATATCAAAAAAACGCCACCAGACTCTTGAAAACCTCTGCATTGATGCATAGAGAGCGGCACAACAGAAAAAAATGTAGACGGGGGGGAGGGGAGGGGGTTAGATAGAGAAGTTGGAAGATGGGACAGAAGTTCTCATGCTGTGGGGGTCGTGTTGTTGATGCCGAGAGGGGTCAGAGGGTGTGCCCACCGTCAACGGTAACCTTATACCTGTTGCGCAGCTGTTGTGGGGGGCGCAGGATTGCACGACAGCAGAGTGTGAATGTGTGCGTGCATGTGCCTGTGTCACTAACATTATCATGGAACGCCAGTCTCAGTGCGGCGGGAAACGGGAAACAATTCCAAAGGCCGCCCCGTCGTAAGGGTCACCGGGGAGACTAGGCTGTCCTCCGGATTTCAGACAGAAACAATAGTGAACTGCACGTGTGTGTGTGTTATTGAATAAGCGTTGACCGCGCTAGTCGACTGGCCAACAACAAGACATGCGTGTTTATGTGTGACTTCGTCCCATCTGTTACCGGCGCCAGTCTCCACCTCTTGGTGGTGTGTACCCATGTTCATGCATAAGCAGGAGTCACAAAGGAAGAAGGTAAAACAAACGCTGGAGGTGTCATATTTGTATTCCACCACTAAATACCGTTTCCTGCGCATGAACAATGCGATACCATACAACGGTTACGGTGGCTGGCTCCCCACCACGGGCGGCAGCAGTCAAGATCGTCAACGCACACGCCTTCACATCACAACCAACTCCAGTCGACAAGCCATAGGGGTGGAGGACGAACTTCCAGCAAAATGATACCACACAGCAGTCCGGGGGCAACGATCGATTGTTCGTTGGCACCAACAGCAACCGACACCAGCAAACAAAAAACGTCGTTATGCCTACTGCGGAGGTGTGGTGCCATACCCTACACAAGAAAACATACCCCGCGATAAAGTCGATGGGTTGGGGGGGATGTGGTTCCTATGCATGTGGGCGTGTTATCTTGTGTGGGTTCACAGAACGTAGAAGGCGATTGATGAGGTGGTCTAAAAACAGTTTCACACGGCTTCGGTGCCATGCACACACGCCGGTATCAAAGCTTAGAAGACAAGCAAAAAAAAAAAAACGGCGCAAACAAGGCGGTCATGATTACCACAATTACCCCACAGCCGTAAGAAAGTACAAGAAAGGGGTGCGGAAAAAAAGTGTGCCTGGGGCGTATATAGGTGTTGTTGTGGTCGATTCTTAAAGCTCGACTGCTCCACAACCAAGAGGCTGCCAGCACCGAAAACGGTGGTCTGGGGTAAGCAACGCTGGCAGAAAGAAAAACGCCTCCAAGTGCCCTCTGGGGTGTCGTCAAACGCGCTACGCAGCCGCAGAAAAATTCAAAATTTTGGAGTATGTATCATATGTACGGCGGTACACGGCAGCAAGCGGACTTGTCTGCACACTACGCCCACAACAGCAGTCATGGAGATGTGAGGTGTGCTGCTGCAATCGTGAGCTATTTGTGTGTGCGCAACAAACTGCTTGGCGGCTGCATGCATGTGTCTGCCAGCTGTATGGGGTAATCATAACGTTCTCACGAGTTGAACCGACTGCTGTATGTACATGCAAACACGTGAACAATTTACAGTCTAGGCGGATGCTTTAGGTTTAGCATTGCATCTCTCTCGAATTCCCACCACCAAGTGAAAGCCCGAAGATTGCGACCACAACTGCTGTCCGCGACCACAAGCAAACACTGCTCTGCCCTACCCCTGTGTAAACGGGGTTCAAATAAAATGCCCTCGCCAACAACGTGCGGCGGAATACGCACAAGGCGTGAAAATGGCTTGAAAACAAAGACCCTGAAATAACGGACCGCGTTTTTTTTGTGGGCCTTCAAAATTCAGTATAATAAGCATCCAATGATGTCCTCGCGGAAAGCAAGAAGATAGGCTGAGGGTACACGACCAGAGACACGGCTCACCTGTAGCAGTGTTTACGCCAACGCCATCCCCCGCTTTCTTTGAGCGCAATCCGTTCGGAAGCGCCAGTACACTCGCACCTCCAACCCCTGCCTCCCGCAGGCTACAACAAAAAAAAAAAATGTGCGACGAAGAGGAGGTCTCTCGCGCACACGCGAGGAAGGGTGAAAAAAAACAGATTCGCCAAACTTTCCAAGTCGTGTCCAACGTTTCCGCTAGCGCTTAATCCTACGCGGACTTCCGTGGCTCTCGTCCTGCCTCCGGGGCAAAAAACCGTCGTCCCTCCCTCTCTCCAAACTCCAAACCCGTTCCCTGCAGGCCCCTCCCTCTCTCTTTCGGACGTGGGGGCTCCGTGCCGCGTTTCGACCTATTTTTTCTCCTCGAACTCCCTCCCCATCGCGTGCCCCCCCTGATTCCTCCAGTGATTTGAATTGAGCATTGCTTGCCCTCTTGCTCTCTACTGCTGTACTGGTGCACGTATCCTCGTGGGAGCTTCCTCCTCGCCTTCCGCTTCGGTCCTTGGTGCGTATGATAATCTGGGCGTGACAGATGGTTGGTTGCAGGAAGTTAGTTCACGTGAGGTTGAATGCTGTTGTGAGATGGCCCATGTTGCTGTATCGTATCGTACATTTGCTGCTCACGACTGCATGAAGAGGGTGCGACTGCTGGTGTACGGCAGTAGACTCCAATGGTAGGGTTCCTGGAAGCCCTTGACGAGACGATTCGAACGCCGCCGTTCTCGGCACGGTTACTGTTTTTGCAATATTGCGCTGGCTGTTCACTCTAGTTCAATTTACATTGCTTTCCTGGTCTACCATGTGTACCAAATGTAGACTAATCATTAGTGTCCTGCAGGGATTGTAGGTGTACACCTCTTCGGGCTCGTTTACCTCTTCCTTGCAAGTGGGCGTGTTCTTTAGATCTTCAGATGGCTCTAGTAGCATTTTTGTGACCAAGGACTCGAGCTTTTGCTAGATGTTAGGATTAGCCACTTGACACGAGTTTAAGGCGAAGACAACAACAACCCCCTGTAAGGAACGTAATATATACCATATGTCGAACTTACGGTTTGCGTCGCATGCTGTAGATCATCAGATTGAGTCACGGCCGTCCTCCTTGAACACTCTCTCGCTCACTCACATGGACGGGTCGGTCATACAATCCTAGTCTATCTAAATTTGCACCAGTATAGTTGAAGCGAATATTTTCGATCGTGACTCTGTAAACAACAGGTTATTACATTATTACATGGGTGTAAAGTCTGCCGGAAAATGGTGTCCAACAACAGCAGGCAGACCTCAGCTGGGTATTCTCTCTCGTCAGCTTTTGAGTTGGCCATCTCGTTCTGGGTCGTGAAACCATGCGGCGAGAGAGTCCGGTAGCCCTGTAGTGGACCACACACACACAGTGGTAGTTGGGGTGTGGCATGTGCTAACACCGTCCTCCAAACGGACTGCTGCATCACATGCTCGGAGGAAAGGTGTTGTCTTGGACCTTGCCGCGGAATGGAGGTCCTGCAGTCTATAGCACAACTACCTTGGGTTGTGTACAGACGGCGGCACCACCCGTTCCACGAAGTACACCAAACAGTACGCAACAACCTCGACACCGTGCATGCAACTAGCACCGTGAAGATGTTGCTGAGAAGCCCGGAATAGAAGTATCTATCTAGTAAGAGGCAGAGACATGGCACCCCCACCAGACCGACTTCCAAAGATCGATTGCTCCACCACCAAGCTTGTGCATACCGACGCCCAAAATATCACCCAAGTAGTTTTAGAAACATCTTGTCGGGGGGATTTCCGTAGACGAATTATCGGTCTCTTTCCGCACGCTCTTGTTTGTGAAGCAGGCAAGCTCTGAAACTCGGTCTAGGGGGGTGCCATCTCTCCGCGTCTTACGGAATACCACGGTACGGTATACGGTACGGTACAGACAATCTTGGTCGTGGAGCAATCGAGCTCTGAAACTCGGTCTAGGGAGGGTGTCATCTTCCCGTCTCTTACGGTAATCGGCTTTCCGGCCTAAATCCAAGACATTTTGGAGGCCAAATAGTCGAAAACAGCATTCCGGCCGGCCCAGACAGCTATGATGTTCGATGCTGCTACATCGGAAACGGACATCATGGGGCTGCGACACTTGCGTTAGAATGCTCATCTGCTGCATGCAGGGGCGCGCAGCCGAAGACTGCAGCACCTGCTGTTCTAAGATCTACCTGGGTGCATCTTTTTTCCCTTCTCAACACGCCATCACAGACCCGAACACCGAGGTGCGGGCCGTCCAAGGCGGCTCGTGGTGCCGACAACTTAGTGTGCCGGGAGTCACCGCACGTTCATCGCCCATGTTCGAGATAACACAACATGTCGAGAGACCAAGATCGAGACAAAAGAAACAGGCCAACCCCGATTTGTGCAAAGTACCAGGATACCGTAGGTCGCGTGGAATACCACACCCTCAGAGCTGAGTTTTAAAGCCAGAATTATCAGGAGCACACACAGAATGAGGGTGTCGAGAATGGCGGGAGGCGTTGGAACCGTCTTGTCGAGAGCTTTCCGAAAACGTATTGTTTAATTTTGGCATTCTCGTCGTCGTCGTGATTAAGAAAAGGGGTCCACGGCGTGTGGTATCTTATGTCACCTACGGTGTGTCGAGGCTGAGAGACATCGGAAGAGACAGAGGCAGGGAGGCGTACAGACCGCGATGAGAACCTGGGAGCGAAGAGATTCAGTCTCAAAGAAATGGAAAGCTAAGGACTTGACCTTTTAAGACGAGGCGCTCAGCTCTGAGAAAATCTACACTAAACCCAAAATACAAGTAGCTGGTGGCTTACTAATTAGCCACCGAGACTCGGGGCAAAGTAAAGAGGTTGTTGTTGTTGTTGTTGTTGTCTTCACATTAAAAACCGTTCCGATCTCTCTCTACCCAGTACCTTCGTATGTCCGTACTGATCCAACACTCGACGCGGTCGATTCCCGTGGTCACAGGTTAACTTACCCTAAAAAGGTACACTCAAACATACTGGCTGTCAAGTGGTGGTACGCTCAGTAGGGAGAGTAGAAAGCAGCGAGCGATGGTCGGCGAATAAGAGTACGAAATGAAACAAGGGCTTGTTTCGTAGCCCGCTTCCGAGTACGGAATTTTTTGTGTTAGAGAGTTTAGTGTGGGATCCTCGGGTAAGCTGGTGTTTCTTAATCCTAATTTTTGGTGTTTTTGTGAACATAATTCTGCCCGTTTTTTTTTTTACCGGAATCGCACTGCTGTACAGAAGCAGTATGGAGGACTGGACGTCGAATACCCCATTTTTTTTTGTGTTTTTGTGAACATATTTGAGCCCTTTTTTTTGTTAACGGAATCGCACTGCTGTACAGAAGCAATATGGAGGACTGGAACGTCGAACCGCCCGAGATGACTCACAAAGACTACGCGCCGGACTGCTCATCGAGAGCGGCGGAAGGGTTTTACGTGGGGGCGTTGTACGGTGCGTGCTGCTTTTGCGACACTTGCTCCTGTCCAGTTGCCTTGGTCGTCTCCGCACTACGTTGTTCTCGACCTGTGTGTGTGCGTATTTTTTGTTTTTGTCTTTTAACCATGTACCATGGTACATTCCATATTTGTTTCCAGCTGTCTTGCTCTTCTCCGCACTACGATATTCTCGACCTTTGTGTGTGTGTGTTTTTGTCTTTTAACCATGTACCATGGTACCATGTACCATGGTACATACAATGTTTGTGTCCAGCTGTCTTGGTCTTCTCCGCACTACGGTATTCTCGACCTTTGTGTGTGTGTGTTTTTTGTCTTCCACCGTGTACTATCGTGCATACCATGTTTGTGTCCAGCCGTCTTGGTCTTCTCCGCACTACGGCATTCTCGACCTTTGTGTGTGTGATTTTTTTTTGTCTTTAACCATGTACCATGGTACATACCATGTTTGTGTCCAGCCGTCTTGACCTTCTCCGCACTACGGTATTATTTGTGTGTGATTTTCTTGTCTTTTCCCATGTACCATGGTACCCTGTTCAGCTTGGGGTACCCAGCGACACAATTCTATGTCCGGACAACCGATCTTGCAGAAGGAGCGTCAGGTCGTCAACGATTGCGGTCTGCACTGTCTGCCGATTTGGGTCAGCCTTGAAACATGGCAAGGGGCGGAAAATTCTCGAAACAATTCCCAAACAACATATATGTACAATATGTACATACCCGTGCCGAATCATACAATCCAATCCAAGTTTAGGAGTGAAACATGAGTTGCCCCGTTGGTAAGATTTTTTTCCACCATGGACACAGAGGCGTGGTATGGGCTGGCGTCACAACTCCGTTTCTGGCGTAGCACGCCTGCCCAAAGTTTTCGAGCTTCCTTCCGGTGTTTGAACTCCTTCTTGTTCCGGTTGTTCATTTCGTGGAGTATCAACACATCAACACCCCCGGGAGCTCTTGACGAGTGGGGTCGCAACTGGTGTTTCCCGCAGTCTTGATGTTTCACGGGTCTCGCGCGATTGGTCAACACGACACGCGTGCTATTAACTTCGCATCAAACGTACATAACCAAAGCAACCTTGCTTGCTGCTTGCACGCGGAATAGTCCAACCTTTGACTGACTTATTATGTCCGTTTCTTTGCTCGAGGAGAGTTGGGACAATGTGCAACTTTCCTCAGAACGAAGGATCCGTCGCCGATAGTCGCTTGTCATGGCTCGCAACGGGCTTGCCAAGTGCCCTAAACAGCACGTCCCTCCTGTTCACGCGAATCCCCCCGTATGTATCCCAGGGGCAGTCTGGGGAGTCATTGGGCGCGCGGCACACGCACCCACTTTACCGTCGACACCTGCGGTGAGTTGATCAGTCCGCGCAAAGGAAGCCGACGCGGATGCGTAAAATCCCCGGCGACGCGGCAGTATGCAGCTCATGCTGAGACCCGCTGATTTTTTTTCCGCTTGGCTAGCCCTTACATTATGGTGGCGGCTACTGTACCGTTTAAGAGAGACTGTTTTAAGATAAAGTACCGATTTAAGAGAGTCAAACTGGCTCGTCACGACCATGAAAGTTTAAGAGACTGTTTAAGAGAAAGTGCCGATTTAAGAGAGTCAAACTGGCTCGTCACGACCATGAAAGTTTAAGAGAGACTGTTTAAAAGAAAGTGCCGATTTAAGACTGACTCGTCACGACCATGAAAATTACATAAACATGCGTTTCACAGCACTACGGTTCAAGAGAAAACCGGATGTAAGAGAAATACTGGCTTGTCACGACCCTCTCTTAAACCGTAGCCGCTACTGCAATAGTAGCACGTCGAGGTTCACTCGATTGTTTGTATAACGGACAGCTAAATAGCTTCTCACGGACCGCAAGACTAGGAAGGTTGGCTCAAGACCTTTTTTAACCTTTATGGATCATCGGAGTGACACCGCGTGCAGCCCTTCCAAGTCTGGGAGCCCCGTTGTATTATATACCCCCATACCCCGGGTGCCCGTAGACTAGTATCGGGTGCCGAGTACATACCCGAAACAGATTTGTCGACACCCGCGAGAGCGATTTACCCTAGCATCCACCGCATCGAATCTCCGGACAACGATCTCATCGACACGTCTTCCGAACAGGTTACGTTAGATACCACACCCCCCTCTTTGGACCGATTTTTCAAAGCTCTACCACTCCGCAGCGCAGAAAGACTGGCGGTACCGACACTGGAGGCGTTTGAAATCGTCGTCTTGTCGAAACCTTTCCGTAAAACGCATCGTTTGATGTTTTTGCACCCTCTTCGTCGTGGAGTAAATGGTAGTCGTGCTTTGAAAATCGATGCAGGGGGGCGTGGTATCTTACGCCATGTCACCTATGGTACTTCCCCGGCGTTGACGTCCTCCCTGCCGGTCGTGGAGCAGTAGTTGGAGCTTTGAAAATCGGTCCACGGGGGCGTGTTATCTTACGTAACCTAGGGTTGTTCCTGGCGTTGACGTCCTCCCTGCCCGCCGAGGAAGGAGGAGAAATTGAGGACGAGGGGGTTCCCCACGAGATTGTGCCTGAACCCGCACTTCCACCTGGCGGGTGGTACACACGCCCCGAGGCTTTGGCAGCGACGGTTACATACATTGTACACCTTCTTTGTGAAACCCCGGCTCGTCTGTGGCCCCCGTTCAGGAACCCCGTGCCTCTTCTCCTCTCATATCGAATCCCCTTGACCGACTATGCCCACCTTCGGACCCCCCCCCCCCCAACGCTATCGCGCCCCCCTCGCCGCCTTCTTGGGTTCTGCGCCTCAACATCCGTTCTGCTACACTACTACCTACTCTCACATCTTTCGCCCCCCCCTCTCGTTCTATCCCCCTACTACCTTGCCCCCCCCCCCCCCCCCGGGGGAAAACCCGGGGGGCCCCCCCCGGGGGGGGCGGGGAAAGGGGGCAAAAGGTCAAAGACCACGGGGGGGCCCAATATTAGCCCCCCCCCCCCCCCTCCCCCCCCAAAAAAGCCTTTTGGGCGGTTTTCCCCCGGCCGGGCCCCCCGCCCCCCCCCCGGGGGGAAAGGAAGGGCCCCGGGGGCCCCCCCCCCAGGGGGGCGGGGGACTCCCCCGGGCCCCGCTGGAAAAAAAAAAATATCC